TTTGGGATAACTCACCTCCTTAGTATGTATCTCTATCACCTTACATCAGGCCACTGGCATCTCTTGCTTGAAGGACTGCAGTGGTCTCCCAGCTGGGGTCTCCCTGCACTGGCTCCCATGTTACTTCCCCCTGTAACCTGCTAGTCATTGGACCATTTGGGGCTATCCCTGTTCTTATCTTTATATTCACCTTTAGGCCAATCTGACTACACTGTCATATCTTCCCAGAACAGTAAGAATCCAACTGCAAAATCACTAATGGATAATGTAGTTTTAAATGAAGGGATCTGTAAAGTCCCAGGAAGGGGCTTCAATACTTCCTACACAGAACCCTCGTCTCTCCTCTCCCCCCACCTCATTATGGCAGGTATGGCCACCCCTCTCCCTCACTCCGTTTCTTCCCCTATTATCCCGCAGCTGCCCTCTAGTCAAATTAGCTCTCGGTCTCCTCCTCCATATCTCCTACTCCGTCTCTCTAATCCTTTCAGCTGCCATTTCCTTCTGAAACTATCTCATCCCAACAGAACTCCTTAAAGCCCTTCATGGCTACTCACCGCTCTCAGTAGAATCCACACTCCAGAACATGGTCTACTAGGCTTCGCAAGCCCCAGCCCCAGCTCCTTCTCCTCCATCTTCCCCACTTGAACCCTCTGCCCCAGACATACCATAGCGTAGTGGGGATCACCCCTGGTCTGCTGTGCTCTCTTCTACGTGGGCGATCTGTCATGCTCCCCTTTTTCCCTATGATTAACTCCTACTGTCTTTCAGGGCTCAACCTAAACATCTCCTGGAAGCCTGCCTTATAATCTCTAAGACTGGGTTAGGTGGTCTTACAGCAGTCTACCCTTATCACAAATGTGCTCTTAGCGGCTTGAATATACACTTCGACAACAGAATTGTATTACTGCATGCCTTGGGCCTCTTAGAGGGCCTCAATTATAGCGTTGTACTCAATGATGCTGAGTAACTAGAGTAACTAGATAAACAAAAGCTTAAAAGCATGTTCCTGCCTAGGGTCTGTGTCCTTAGGAGAGAATGGAACCCATTAGCCCCTTAAGCATTAAGCCCGTAATTCTGGCCTTGTTTGTGTTCTAACCTGCAAAGGTTAGTACCTGGGTTCACAGAAAAAAAAAAAAAAATCCACCTTTAGGGTTCCATGGATGATCATAAATGCCCCCTAGCAATTTAGCTGTGTTCCTTCTAATTCTGGAAGGCTGTACTTGGCCCTATCTCCACATCAGGGCACAACATTTTCTAAGCTAGACATGAACCCCTCTGGTGATTGCATGCTGTGAGGCTGCACAATATAAGCTGAATCATTACTATTTATAAGCAATCTTCCACCTTGAGTCCTAGTAGGCTTAGTTGACTCCACTTCTCTCCCTAGGAGATAACCAAATTGTCTCCAACCACCATTTTTTTTGGGGGGGGGGCGTCTTTCCAGGCAACAATTATGTAGAAGTGGTAGGAGTCAGATAGTGCTATTAACACACCTAAGCACACCCCCCAAATGGGACTTCTGGACTTCTGGATGCCTTTAGCATGTGTAAGCTCCTATAAGGTTTTGTACTTTGACTCAAGAGCGTATTTGGCCAAGGCTCTTTCCTGCTTGACTTCTGAAGGCTAGCAAAGAACAAATAGAAACTTTACATAATCCAGAATACAACAGATGGTTCTGTTTTATTTTAGAAATAATTTATTGTGCTTTATTCCAATTATAAAAGTAGTACATGTTAATTACAGACAATTTGATAAATACAGAACAGCATAAATAAAAATATAGAAATCATTTCCAACAAGAGATATCTCCACAAACATTTGGAAAGTTATTTTCTTCTACGCTGTCTCATTACAAGCAATGAATATATATGTGTGTGTGTATGTGTGTGTGTGTGTGTATATATTTTTTTAAGGAACCTCCAATGAGTGTGTGTGTGTGTATTCCCTTGAACAGAACTGGATAGTACTGCTCAAATTTTGTTTCCCTTTTTTTTTTTTCAGAATATAAAAATGAAACATAGTTGCAGTAACTATTTTTAACTTTACAGAGATGTATAAGGTCTAAAGTGAAAGTTCCCACAACTGCATTCTTTGGACACAACTGGTATCAACCAATTTAATGGATTCCTTGAGAACATATACTTACATGTGTCCAATGTATTTATTAAATATTTTTTTTAATTTTTAAAAAAATTTTTTGTTATGTTAATCACCATACATTACATCATTAGTTTTTGATGTAGTGTTCCATGATTCATTGTTTGTGCATAACACCCAGTGCTCCACGCAGAACATGCCCTCTTTAATACCCATCACCAGGCTAACCCATCCCCCCACCCCCCTCCCCTCTAGAACCCTCAGTTTGTTTTTCAGAGTCCATCGTCTCTCATGGTTCTTCTCCCCCTCCGACTTACTCCCCAACATTTTTTTTTTTAAGTATGCTCCATACCCAGCGCAGAGCCCAATGCAGGCTCAAACTCACAACTGTGAGATCAAGACCTGAGCCAAGATCGAGTCATCCACTCAACTGACTGAAGCCACGCAGGTGGTCCTTAAACAACATTTTAAATTCATTTTAATTATAACTAAATTACCATGACCTTAATATCCTTCAAAATATCATTTTATAACTATGTAACATTCAAAATTATTATGTTGAACCACTCCCTTATTATCAGGGGTTCAATTTTTTAATTGCACAGAATGCAATGAACATACATAATTTATTGTAAGGATTTATTTCCTGATGATAAAATCCTACAAGTGAAATTACTGGACCAAGAGCTATATGTATATTATCAGGACCTGATGTATAACATCAATCTACCTTCCAAAAAGGTTATACACTCAGTAGTTATGCATGGGTGCCTATTTTTTTTTTTAAGGTTTTATTTATTTGAGACAGAGAGACAGCGAGAGAGAGAACACAAGCAGAGGGGGGCAGGAGAGGGAGAAGCAGGCTCCCTGCTGAGCAGGGAGCTGGACAAGGGGGGCTCGATCCCAGGACCCTGGGATCATGACCTGAGCCGAATGTTAAGCAGATGCTTAACAACTGAGCCACCCTGGCGCCCTAAGGATGCCTATTTTTTTTTTAATTTTAAAAGGCTCAGAGGTGGGGGCGCCTGGGTGGCTTAGTCCGCTGAGCTTGAGACTTGATCTCAGCTCAGGTCTTGATCCCAGGGTCCCGAGTTCAAGCCCCACCTTGGACTCCACCCTGGGCTTGAGGCTACTTAAAAAAAAAGAAAAAGGGATGCCTGGTGGCTCCGTTGGTTAAGCGTCTGCCTGCGGCTCAGGTCACGATCCCGGGTTCCTCGGATCGAGTCCCACATCGGGCTCCTTGCTCAGTGAGGAGTCTGCTTCTCCCTCTGCCTGGTGCTCCCGCTGCTTGTGCTTTCTCTCTTTCTAATAAATAAATAAAATCTTTAAAAACAAAAAAAAGGCCTCAGAGGTGGTATAACTACAAATCAACTATGGTACCTTCAGATTAAATGTTTAGTTTTATTCTCTTGCTATTGCTAGCATTAATGGAGTTCTTGTTTGTTTGTTTGTTTGTTT